AGCGACGAACCGGAAGTGATGTTATTGAAGATGGAGGAAGAAATCTAAAGAACGCAAAAAAAGAAGAAGAAGACGAAGTTGTTAAGTTGAACATACTGAGTATATCTTAGACTATTATTTGAACTACATGAACTATCTTGACGAATTCGATGATGATTTCTTGTTGGTGTTAAATTATCCAATTTCTCTTGAAAATGATTTGTAATTGATTCACTTGGTAAATCGAGAAGTTCTTCTTCATATTTCAAATCTAAATTTAAAGAAATTTGAAAACAAAGAAACATAGTTGAACAAATTTTACGAGAAAAATATTCGTTGAATTTCTCAATAAGAATTGCAATTTGTTGTTTTAATTGAAGATTTTCTTCAGATGAAATTTCATTAAGAATCTTTTCCAGATTTATTTTTTCATTCGATAATGAAGAAACGATTTTCCATTTTCCAATTAATAAATTATAATTTAATAACACAAAATGATTTTCATATTCATAAAGAAAATCATAACCAAGAATTTCTTCATTTTCATTCAATATTTTCTCCTTCAAAATCAAATGTTTTTTAACTGAAAAAGATTCCAATAAACGAAATTTCTTCTATTGAAATGAAATCATTTTACGAACATTCATTCCAATTGTCTTCATTGCCAATCATTGGATCCATTTTTGTTCGAATAAATAAGAGAAATGAATACTGAATTCAACATTTTCATATTTATTTCGACATTTTCTCACGTTTTCTCACTTATCAAAGGAAAAGAATTTGGAGAAAAAAATATCTTTGCAAGCAGATACATTCTTTTTCATTGAAATATTTCCGAAGAACTCTTCAACTTTTAAATAACAAAAGGAAATTCATCTTCAATTAAAGTATCAACATACAAATATATGAAGAATTCATTTCTTTATCATGATTTTTCTATTTATTCAACTAATCGATCAATTCAATAGAAGAAGAATCGACCATTTGTATAAAGAAACAACAAAATCACTTCTTGTTTTCTCTTATTGATTTTCATAAACAAGAATCGTTTGAAATTTCTTTAGACTAACTCAATGATAAAAAATTCAGGTAAAAATAAACGAGAAGAATATTTTTATTTTGAAAAATTCTCATATAAATAGCGAGAAAATGAAGATAAGATCAGAAAGAATGATGTGTTATAGTCTATAAATAGAACAGATTGTCGACGATTTTGTAAATGCAATTATCATGTAAATCAAATCTCGATCTTCTTTCATTGATTTTCTTCGGAATGTCATCAAAATAAAATTGAAGAAATTCTTGAATTTTTCAATAAAAAAAGAAAAAAAAAAGTTTTTTCTTATTTTTGGATTTATTTATGATAAATTATCTCTAAAAAAAGAAATGACATGAGAAAAAAAAAAGATTTTTCTATTGATTATATTTGAGATTGATGATATATTAAAGATCAAAACTGATGCGATTTCTCTTTCTTTCTCATATTGATCAATTTCGAGATGATGTTTTTTCTTCTTTTCTTTATGATTCTCGTCAATTGTAATAGAAAAGATTCATTGGGAACATCTTCATCATATCTTACACATCAATAATCATCAGACAAATCAAATATTCTTTTTCTTTTAACAATATTAGTTTGATTTGTGTGTAAGTATTTATATTTGAAGAGAAGAAAAAAGAAATCTAATGATATTCATTTTCAAGAAAAACAAATGACAAATTTCATTTTCTTCTTTTTTTTTTATTTTAGAAAAGAAAAAGTGAAAGAAATATTTGAATGTAAATAATGGATACAATTGGAATGAAATCATCGAAGGATTTAATCAATTCAACAAATCTTGATGAAAAACGAATGAAGAAAAGTATTTTAAAAGAAAGTAAATGGAAAATTATTCGAGAATCTAATCCACGAATTTTACCACGACTTTCTCAAGGTGAAATTAAATTGAGTAATATCATTGAAGAACTTCAAAAAATTTCAACTGATGAAAAAGGAAAAAAAGATGAAGAAATTTCAATAAAAAATTCATCAAATTGGATCGAAATTTCTCGAAGAAGATTAGCACATCTTCTTCTATTACCAAAATTTCATTATTCCATCATTTTTTTAGTTATTATTGATCTTATTGTTGTTCTCATTGATTTGGTTCTTGGTATGTTTATGTTTCTTTTCTTTTTTTATTAAAACTTTCTTTCAAAATTCATTTCTTTTTTAAAAATCTTTTTCAGCTCAATTATCATCTCCGTGTTTAACAGATAATGAAATGCTCGAATATAACACAACACATCAACGAGATTCATGTTTTCTTCCATATTCACTAAGTCTAAGTCGTGGTGAATTATTTTTATTTTATTTTTCTGTTTTATTATTAATCATATTTGTTATTGAAATTCTTCTCTCATTTTATACATTTGGTTTACGTCATTATACAAATCCATTGTATTTAATAGACAGTTTAATTGTATTTACATCATTTGTCATGGAATTATATTTTCATTATGGACATTTGGGAAGAGCAGGACGAGCTGCAGCTGCTATTGTTGTTCTAAGATTATGGAAAATTGTTCGTGCTATTCATGCAGTTGTTCATTCAATTTCATTGAAAAATCGAATAATTATCAAGAAAATTCAAGAAGCTCAAATTATTATTGAACAGGAAAAAGAAATGACAGAGAAAATGCTTCAGAAACAGGATATCAAAGTCGAATATTTGACAAATCTTCTGAAAATAAATGGCAAATTACCAAGCAATGAACAGATCAATTCTCATGTTGAAAAACTATGGAGACAAAGAAGTCAATCAGAAATTTTGTCTTAAAAAAAAGATTTTTTTTTTATTTGAAAAAAAACCTGTTTGTGTTTTATAAATCAACAAGAATTCCAATTTTAATGGTATTTTCTGGTATTGATGTAAAATTTAAAGGCATACCAGGATATAAATTCTTTAAAACTGAATAAATATACAAAGGCCATCGTTTTAAATATGTTTTCCATCCTTTTGTATTCACATGAATAGTTTCATTAGGAAGATAAAAAGTAATTGTTGATTGATCTTCAGTTATTGGAATATCATAAAATTGTCTCGCTAAATGAAGAACATTAAAAAGATTTACATTTGTTTCCGCATAACCAAATATAGTTGTGATATGATAAATATTTTGACCAAATTTTCTAACAATTAATCGTTGATCATCATCAATTAATGGGATTCGTGCATAATCAAGTTTAAGAAAGATTAGAATTTCTTGTGATGCATTCATTCGACGAAGAAAAGTTTCAAAAACATATGGAGTATATTTCTTTGAAGTACTGAGAAAACAACCAACTCCTTTTGTAAAACAAATTTCTGTTCGTTCAATTGGAGAATCTTCTTGTGTATTCGAATCAAAATGATTTTCAATAATTGAAACTGAAATTTCATTTGAATCTGTTCGATTTGAAAATCTTCTTTCGTCATTTTCATCATCTGTTAAACTTTGAGGATCGTCTTCATCATTATTTTCTTCATCGGTTTGATGAAATTCTTGAATTCCAAATCTTTTTGGTAAATCTTCAATTAGATTTGTTGTACAGTTCTGTGATAAATAGAGTCTTAAACAATGATTTCCATAATACCAACTAAATGAAAAAATAAACAAACCAACTGCAATGACAATTGCCACCCAACCACCTGAATCAATCTTTGTCGTACAAATTGCTGCAAATGTATATAAGTCAATTATTAAAAAGATTCCAAACAAAGCAACAATCCAAATTGGATTTGACCAACTGTAACGCATAACCATCATATAAAGAATTGTTGTAATAACCATCACACTACATACAGTAACACCATATGCATCTGTTAAATTATCACTTGTTTGAAAACCAATTGTTACGGCAAGAGTTAATGCTAAAAGAAAATAATTTACAGCTGGAATGTAAATATGACTAATGATTGATTGTGATGTATGAACAACGGTAAATGGAACACAATAACCCATAGCAACGGCTTGAGAAACTAAGGAAAATGCTCCTGTTATTACTGCTTGTGAAGCAATTGTGGATGCAATAACAGAAAAGACAAGTAATGGCCATAAACCCCATTCAGGTGCTGCATGATAAAAACTTTGAAAAGAAAAATAAATCGACATGGTTTCTATTAGTAAATCTTGGGAAAACTTACGGATTATCAATCAGTGTAGAATCAACGATAATAACCGCACCTTGTCCCAAATAATTCAATAAAACTGCAGGAAATACCAAAGCAAACCACGCAAATCTTACAGGCCATCTTCCAAAATGTCCTAAATCAGCATATAACGCTTCCAAACCAGTTACCGACAGAAATATCGATCCAATCTGATAAAACCCAGTTTTTTTTGTTCGTATTAGATAATGTAATGCTTCCCATGGATTAAATGCTTTCAAAATCGATGGTTTAAACGTAATTCTCCATATTCCAATTGTGGCTAATAGAATAAACCATAAAATCATAATGGGTCCAAAGAAAATACCAAGTCTTGACGAACCCCATCTTTGAATTAAAAACAAAATTATAATCATAATCACCGATATTCGAACAGTCCAAGGTGAAAGTGATGGTTCAGCCACAACCATTCCTTCAAATGCAGATAAAATTGATACAGCTGGTGTTAACGCACTATCACCAATTAATAAACAAGCTGATAAGATTGAAATAATACTAACAAATTGTTTTGTTCGATTTCGAAGAAAACTTGTTTGACCAGTTAATAAACCACATAAAGCGAATGGCCCACCTTCACCACGATTATCTGCTATTAAGATAAATATTGCATATTTTAGCGATACGACGACAATTAAACTCCAAACGATTAAGGCGATTGCACCAATAACATCACGTTCAATTGGAGGAGAATCGAAAATAGTTTGTACGACATATAATGGAGATGTTCCACTTAGAAAAAGTTTCTTTTTAGAGAAAAAAAATTCATTGATAAATTCACTTACATATCACCGAAAACAATTCCGATTGATCGAACAGTCATTTTTAAAAAAAATGGAAAATTTGTAAAAGGTGAAACTCGTCCACCTTTGAGTCCTTCATCGGATAAAATAACTCGTGGTGCTTCCGATGTTGTTATTGTATTTACTCGACGTTTTAAAATACTTGATCTACGACTAAATCTCCGTTGATTCAATCGATTTCTTGCATTTAATTCATTATTGTCGTCTGGAATTTTTTCTGTTGACTGATCACCATCCGTATAAACAGTTTCATCGAATCGAACTGAATGTCCATTACCACGTTGATCATCATTTACACTCATCTTTATTTTTGCCTCTCAAAAATGAATAAATCCTCACCTTTTCTTGCAATATAAATGCAATATAATTGTTCTCTGATCAAAGTTATGCGTCAGTGATCACATGGTTTGTCCTATTCGTAACATTTATCTCGTTTTGAATTTGTCATTAATAATCAATCATTTTTGTTTATTACGCACTTTTCAAATATTGACTTTCGCAAGTCTTTCGTAAGAAGACTATTTTTTATATGTTTCTCGCTTTGTTTCAAATTAGGTTCTTTTTCTTTATTCGATTTGTTTGTATTTATGATACACAAGGATTTATCTGATTTATGAGTGAAATGGGCGTCACCTATATTGAAGGATAACTTTTCCTTCACCTCTCCTTGTGCATACTTATATGACAAGTGCTTCGACATACTCATTAAGAAAAAAAACAATGTTGGAATCGATATGCACATAGGGAATAACGATGTTTATAATGACAAAGAAATGAATTTATTATTTGTCGATTCGAATAAAAATCTTCATGTGAATTTCGAGCTAAATTTAATCTTTGCAATATCATATGGTGAAAGATAAGAAGAAAAATATGTTTTTTTTTCTCAATGACTATTGACGTAAGTCAAATATACAAATGTAAATGTGAATCTTCATTGTAAGATCGGTTAAAAAAATAATGAAGTTGCTATTGATTATCTTGTGTGTTGTTTTTCTCAAGGGAAATTGTTTTACAATTTTGAATAATCAATTAGATGAGTCTTGGTCTTTGTTTAAACGTGTCTTTGACAAAGAATATTCATCCAATCAAGATGAAATCAATCGGTTTGTTTGATAGAAACATAGTTTTCCGTATTTTCGATTGAGAAAATTTTTAGTCGACAAATTTGGGAAGAAAATTTATCAATGATNAATGACTATTGACGTAAGTCAAATATACAAATGTAAATGTGAATCTTCATTGTAAGATCGGTTAAAAAAATAATGAAGTTGCTATTGATTATCTTGTGTGTTGTTTTTTTCAAGGGAAATTGTTTTACAATTTTGAATAATCAATTAGATGAGTCTTGGTCTTTGTTTAAACGTGTCTTTGACAAAGAATATTCATCCAATCAAGATGAAATCAATCGGTTTGTTTGATAGAAACATAGTTTTCCGTATTTTCGATTGAGAAAATTTTTAGTCGACAAATTTGGGAAGAAAATTTATCAATGATTCGCAAACACAATCTGGAAGCTGATATGGGAATGCATAGTTATACACTTGGAATGAATCGATTTGGCGATATGGTAACAAACAAGGATCACATATTCACTTTGATCGTTTTACTTTGTAGACAAATGAAGAATTTCGAAAACAAATGAATGGATTTCAGATGAAACTCAAAACTTCAATTAATCATCAGACATTTGAAACTGCATCGAATTTTGTTCTACCGGATTCAGTTGACTGGCGTTCAAAAGGTTATGTTACACCAGTCAAAGATCAAGGACAATGTGGTTCATGTTGGGCATTTTCAACAACAGGAGTTTTAGAAGGACAACATTTTGCAAAGACATCCAAACTTGTTTCACTTTCTGAACAAAATCTTGTTGATTGTTCAGTCAATTTAGGTTGTCATGGAGGAATTATGGAAATCGCTTATCTTTATATCAAATCGAATGGTGGCATTGATACGGAGTCGACTTATCCTTATGAAGCTGAACGACATCATTGTCGATTTGATCCAAATAATATTGGTGCAACAGATACAGTTAAAAGACATTCGAATTTAATTATCAAAATTTGAAAAGTTTCTCTTTAGGGTTTTGTTCAAATCAAATTAGGAAATGAAACAGATCTCCAAGCAGCCATTGCCACAATTGGTCCCATATCAGTTGCAATTGATGCATCACTTAAGTCATTTCAATTCTATTCATCTGGTGTTTATGATGAACCACATTGTTCACCATATTTACTTGATCATGGTGTTTTAGCTGTTGGTTATGGAAGTTTGAATTCAAAAGATTATTATCTTGTCAAGAATTCTTGGGGAACCAATTGGGGCCAACAAGGTTACATTCTAATGAGTAGAAATAAACACAATCAATGTGGAATTGCAACTTCTGCAAGTTATCCGCTTGTGTGAACGCCTATTCTTCATCGAACCAAATCGGATAAATCAACATGCCGTCATTTTTTTAATCCAGTTTAATATTGAACTGGAATCATTTAAATGCAGACGTTGATTGTTGATATTTTTTCCATCGAAGCACTTCTTTCATTTACTTATTTGATAATTAATTCTAAATAATGTTTAAAAAGAAAGAGGAAAATATTTTCTTGTTTCCAAATCAAAAATGACTGATTGTTTTATTTGGAATAGTTGATTGAAGTAATCAAAAATGTGTCGATATTTATAGCGATATATTTACTGGCAAATAAATTCATCCTCATCATTGATCCTTTTTGTTTGAACATGATCTACCGAATACGTTTGTCCTATTTTCTTCTTCTTCAAGGTTAGTCTGAGGTATATTTATATGAACTTCGACTGTCTAAAGATTTATCTGTCTTCGCCTATTTCTTTGTTAAGCTATATTCAGTTCTATTCATCGAAGAATTTATCCGTTGGATACTTTCACTCCCTCTATTTATGTTCCATATAGTTCGACGCAAGTCCTGTTTTCGTTACAGACGTAAACAATAAATGAAGCCATCGGCACAACTATCAGTACTCATGTTGAAAAGCGGGCTGACTCTGGAATGAAGACACTGGAAATCAGTGGAAATTGGAAACAAACGTCTTTTAAGGGATTCGAGAATCTGGATGATTATCGCCTGAGCAGATGTACTAGTACAACTAGGTGTATAACAATCAAAGAGAAATACTTTAACCACATATCTTTCAGGCTATCATGTGCCCATAGTAAAGTGGGATGGAATAGTTTGTTCAAGATACACAATACCGTTAACAGAAACGAATTTGCAGTGAAGGTGCACAACAACTCAGGTTTTACGAAAATGTCATTTTATTTTACTTTGTCATTTTACTTTTAGCTATACTATGTCGGATGTTTCCCGTAGAGCGATTAAGTAATCGGTGTGAAGCTAGCACGAAGGACGTAGCACGAACAAACGATATGTTAGCTAAAAACTTTTTTACTAAGTATGTCCCGTCCATGAGAACTACACCATTCGACTCAGAATTTAATTCTGCGTCGAATGGTGATACTTTTATTCACCGGACAAACTTCGGAAAATTTTCTATCGATATCTTTGTTCGTTTCCTTTAAGTCTATTTATAATTCNCAGGTGATGCTATCTCAAGTGGATCAATAACAACATTTTCTATGAGTTTAAATACAATGATTGTACCTCGTCTTTCGCATACAGTAACAAGACTTGGAAATAATTCTGGAATTATTTTAGTTGCTGGTGGTTATCAGGGTTCAACATATTATTCTTCAACAGAATTATATTATGGTGCATCAAATATGTTCTTTTCATTAGGATCTGGTGGTGCAATGCCAACAGCACGTGCTTATCATACCGCATCTTATTTACCAACTGTTAATAAAGTATTAATAACAGGTGGACATTTTAATAATTGGAATACTCAAAATACAATGATTCTTTTTGATGTTCTTACTTATTCTTTTTCAACTTTAACGAGTACAATGTCAACATTACGATCATGGCATACAGCAACATTATTACCGGATGGAAAAGTATTAATTGTTGGTGGAAGTACTGGTTCAGTGATAACACCTACTTGTGATCTTATTGATCCATCAAATAATTATCTAACAACACCAGTAGCTAATCTTAGTTTTGCAAGATATAAGCATACTGCAACATTATTACCAAATAATGATCAAAGTACAGTTTTAGTTTGTGGTGGTTACTCACCAACAAGTGTTGCACTAAATTCCTGTGAACTTTATTTTATTTAAAAAAGAGTAAAATATTCATTCTTCTGTATCATTAGATACAAAAACCAGTCAATTATCTTTAAAAGAGAAAGATAATATTAGATTTTTATTCTTATCTGATTCTCTTTTCTGAAAGAAAGGATTATACAGCGGTTAAATCATGGGCTCAAAAAAACTTAAAGTTCGTTTGTCTGTCCTATCCAATCAGAAATCAGCATTTCTTAAGTCAATGAAATCTATACGGATAGCAACCAGAGATTGACTAGTAGTAAGGTAATCGATGCCAAGGAATTCAAATCGATTGTTAGTTTTTTCTTATCCACCAAGATTAGAACTCTTCCTTTCTTTTTTCAAAAGTGATACTTTATGCGTCTTTTAGAAATCTTTGGTAGAAGGTAGTAGGCTATTCCTGGATGTGATGTGTGCAAAGATGTTGGTTTAGAAGTTTACGTAAAAAGATTTAGTTTATCTTACACTATGGTAGTTGTATTTCAAGAAATGAGAAGAAGTAGTATGAGCTTAATATGAGGATTGCGTGATTCGTTGGTATGCGTCAGGCTTTTCGATAGGACTTTAGCGATTATGCATCGCAAAAAAGGTATGTTCATCAATACAATCCCATATGGTTTATATTTCGGTAATTAAATGAATCGAGGATCGCCACTTTGGAAGCAAAAAAGAACAGAAACGTAGCTGTTCACTCAGACAGTTAATCAAAAGTGATAGGCATATAGCGGAACAGTCATGACATTAACGGCTAGCCGTGAGTGGTTGAGGAATGGCTATGTGTTAAGATCCTAGATTAACCACAAAATATACGTTTAGAACAACATTATCAGGATACAAAGCTTTTAAACAGGAATGTAACGAAGGTTGCTCAAGATCAAGTTAGTACTGTTAATGTTGGGTGAATTGTAGACAACACAAAGATGTTTTGCTTTATAAGAACTAACTTTCGATTTCCTTAGCAAATGCTGGCTACCAATCTTATTACGTAAGTTACTTGATACATATGAGAGAAAAGTTCACATCGGGATCTTTCCGATGAATGAACTTGAATGTTTTCACGATTTTATATTGAGATCTTTTCAACAAGTGACAGTATGTTGACATCCAGAATAGATGAAAAGCGGAAAATGAAAATAAAACGTCTTATTTATGCATCAGAAAGCTTGTTTTGATCCTTTTAGTATTTTTTCATAATGAAAAGTGAACAACGGTCTATTTTCTCCTAAAACTCAGTAGAAGATCATGAAAACTGCTAATCTCGAACAAGTACCATAGGTGCGTGAGTACCGATACAAAATGTACATGCATCAGCAGATCGTCTATTCTACTCCGGATGATTCATCCTCTGCTCTTAGCAAAGACAATACATAAGAAAAACGACAACTCCTAGCACACGCAATTACCACATGAGGGTGGGGGCCCAGAACTTGCAAAACAGCAGTAAAGACAAAAAACACGCCTCATCTTTCGGGAGCTCGTGGGGATGTCCCCCGCCATGACCCCATTCCTTCCAAAACAATCAACACCCACACCATCCATAACCCTGTACCCATACTCACACAGCCCTCACAAATACACTCGAAAACTTCTCATATTTTAGTGAACTCACATATTTCGCAAGCTGTAGATGAATATCCTGCTAGAGATTGATCATCTCTACGCTATGATACATGTCGCACTACCGGACAAATACATCAGTTCTCTCATAGTATCTTACATAAAAAGTTTCAAAGAATGTCTTTGATAAAACGAACTGGTACGATATTAAATAGATATTAAAATCATTCCAATACATATACACAACAACAATAAGGAGCGGAGAGACGGTTTTGTTTTTTAGATTCAAAATGCAAGTCATAAATCAGGGTGATTAATTCGATCTTATTGTGCACGTGATAATTCGTTGTTCACTGCAACTGTGTTCCACCCTGCGCAGCATTTCCTGTTATAGTGCGAGGTATCACTTGTCTTCCTCTTCCTCGATAACAAGTCAGCTCCATCATTTTTACACGAAACTGCTTCATTGACAGACAAGTAACGTACGGGAAACAAAATATCACATTATAAAGCACAAATTTGCTGAACAGTATACCATCAATTGCAACAGAAGCTGGCAAACCACATTGATAGGCGAATATGATAGTCACCCACGGTAGGTTGAATAATAGGTAGATTAATGAGATTGATAGCAACTGAACTGTCATACGACGACTCTCTCGCCATCGATTAGCACGATGCATTCGTGCCTTTTGCCTGATAACACGGACTAGCAGAGCAACACAAAACACCACAATGAGCAATGTGGGAAAGACCTGGTGAACAAAAAGATCCCAAGTTGCCAGAAACGTGCGATCAAATGCACAAGGAATATAAATACCACCATGTAAATATCCATCGAATGAGTAATCACAAGGTATGTCAAAGTACACCATACAGTAGTAAATCAGATAGTAGACAATGATGATTGTTGGTGGCAGGTAGTGAATAAGTAGCCGCTTCTTTGCTGTCGATAACCATTGATCATGAAAGATGAGAATGTGTCTTTCAATGCTCGCCCAAGCGAAGAGAGCGATTTGCAGTGAGTACAACGAATAATCAAGAAACACCCAGAAAATGTAGAAATCAGGTGATGTTGAAAGAGGTACACCATTGTAATCATTGTACAGATGAAACAAAATGTTTGTTAATTCGTAGACAAATCCAAGAATAAGAAGAACAATGATGATATGATTGTAAAGTGCCTGTCGATTGGCCCGATAGAAAAGAAGAAAAGCTAGGATGAGCATTGTGGAGATGAGAGATGTGATGTTGAAGACGAGAAAATAGGAGAAGCGAACTAGTCGTTGAACTTGGAACATTCTTTGATAGAGTGATACTTTGATGTGATGTTAAGCAAGAGGTTCGGAACGGATGTTTTAGTTGGCGTGTGTTGTCTTTCAGTAAATAAAGAAACTGACAAGAACACGATAGAATATATACGTCTTCAGGTAACTGTACCGAGTTTTCTACTAATAGAAATATACTGTACCCAGTTTTGAAAGAAATTCAGCGTCAAGTTGTAGAGGAAATTCTGAAGTGGAAACATCATGGCATCTTCTAATTTTTCAGAATAAAAATAATGTAATGCATGAAATGAATAAAGCCATCGTGTGAACTGAGCCAAATTGCATCATGAGTTTATTTTCATTGCCTGATGAAGTTTTCACGGATGACATATTTTCCCCGTTTGTTATTAACTTTAACGTACAGAAGATTTATGCATACAACACGTTCCAGTCGCACGAAAAGCGCAACACAGACGAAAAGTTAAGTCTTTCGCTAACGACTCTTCTGTCTCTGAGAACCTTATTCTTTTTTATATCTTGTATAAGTCTGTTTGGATGTTTATTTGAACAAAACAATCACAAGATATATTATTGTCTTCGGTATCGTGTTAGTCGGAGTAAATTTGATGTCAGACAAACAATTGTTACACTGCTCCAACCCCACCCGAAACCGAAGTTATCCATCGAGCAACCTGTTGTACATCTAAACACAGACCGTGACAGAATTGAAAATGAATATATAAATGGAAATGACCGTGAAAATCTACATCACTCACAAATTGTTTATTTTGCGCTACTGCTCTGTCAGTCCAACTTCTGGATATTCCAACGTCAATAGCAAATGCATCCTTCTTAAACATTCGTTATGTTATAAGTTCTAAACGAGACAACCAAATGATTTCCTCTTGAATATTTACGCACAGAAAATATACAAATACTAAAAGAAGGTTATTTGAAGGAAAAATTGAACTAATAACGAAATTATCCTCTTTTACATAATGTGTTCTTTTTCTTGATGGAAATTGTTTTCCAAACGTAAATAATCAACAACTAGATAAATCGTGATCTTTATTTAAACGTATTTATAGAAAAGAATATTTATCAAATGAAAACGGAATAAATCAGTCTGTTAAGTTGTTTTTCGAGACAATTTTGAAGTTTCTACACGGTTGGAAAAAATATTATTCCAGGGGGTAACACCATCATTTTAAATGGAGTAGATGATGAATTGTATACCAAATGAAAGCCCGTGAAAGTGGGATTTATTGATACTAAATAGTGAGGGTTATGAAGACCTTAGTGTGGTTTCTATGAAAAAGTTCTCCGTGAGAACTTCTCACGAAGAAAAGAAAGAACGTTCGTTCCTTATCTTGATGTTTCTAGTCTGTTCGCGCCGTAGTCTTGTTAATTAGCTCATAGATATATTTAAAAAAGTAATACAAACGATTAATCTTTATCTATAGGAACTGAACTGAAATTGTATTTAAACAATAAAGAATATTGTCTATTAATTCTTCGAGATATACGAGTGAAGTTCGACAGAGAAGGGTAAGCATGTTTGCCATTGATCAATGTTTGTTCGGCCTTTGTCATATTTTAGTTGAACAGTAAAGCGACGAACACTCTTTGGTAGCTCACATAGCGGCTGCACAATGCGCCAGGATTCGACAAACTTGTAGGATATGACAAGATGTTCGACACGAGGAAATAATTCGAACATTCGACGAAGAGTCGGCAAAGATGTTGAACTATGATCAATCTCGAGTTGAGTAACCATTTGGAAAGTAAATGAAGGTAATAAATCAAGCTTTGCAAGTGTAATACTCAGGCAGAGTGGCGGTCCAGCATTGGTCAAATGGATTGAATGGACTCGCGGACAAGTATGATGAATTTTCTCGAGCAACGTGTTAGTAAAAATTTTTCTTGTGGAACACAGAAAAGAAATGTGACGTACAGTTGGCAATCGAAGAGAATCATCAGCCATCGGCAGATTCGAATGAAAATCTAAAAATGATGCGTCAACTATCTCTAGTCGATCAAAGACGAATGGAAGGGTGAATCGAGTATGAAAACGACCTACATTTAAATAAAGAAAATTCAACAAATTTCGATCATCTATATTGCATACCTGGACTATGGTAGATAGATATAACGTGCCGTTGGTTGACTGACCACTGATCAAACAAACGTCTTGCATCGCTCTCATGAGGATAAGTGGGTCCTGTATGGATACAAAAATCTAATCGTGTCAGACGAGGTAATTGTTCAAGAAGTTCACGTTCGAGTGCTTGTGGAGTCAGATAGAACGAGAGTCGCTCAAGTGATGACCCAAAACGACGTACAAAATCATAGAACGATGAGGTGATGCGTGTGTATGCTCGAGGCGCAATAATACTTAACAATTGAAGACGATTGGACCATTGAGATGAACGATGATCCTCGTCACGATATTCACGAGGATGTCCTGCTGTACATCGACGACGCTGAGGTAATCGTAGTACAAGCTTTTCAAGAACAGGGACATGACACATCAGTGACGCAGCTACACCTAGATCAATCACAGCTACTGATAAACATGTCAAACGATAATTGTAATGATAAAATAACTCTTCCAATGGTGTATGAATAGGGTTGTTGTCTTCGGTGATAGTTAAATAGCGAAGCGTGCACTGTGAATTACACACGTAGATCAACATTTCATTCTGATCATTTGCGATTGATGACAATGTCAAAGAATCAAGATTCACTCGCGATAAAATTAAAAAGAATTCCTTTTGTGGTCGCTCCTGTAACATAATCACTTCCACACGAGTCAGTTTTGGGAATACTTTGACTATGACAGCCGCTAATGTTTCATTCAACTGAGTATTGTCGATTCGAACAGCAATAGTTTGATTACCAGATGGAAGAAACGACAGATTGGATGTGAGCCATTGATTACTTAGTTCCACTCGGGCCAGATCGATGGACATTCTTGTCTGCAATGACGCCCAAACTAAACATTTCAATCGTCGGTTTTCTATTGAGTTGAACAGTTTGATTAAATCAACCGAATCAAAATGAGTAAAGATATCCGACAGAAATAATTCGTTAGGCAACGAAAATAAATCGGTCAGCGGTGACATTTTCTTCACGAATGAACTCAGTCATCGATTAACGGACAGGCGTTTCTTCACTTCTCTGTTTCCTTTTTGTCAATTAGAACGTTCATTCATTGGATAGATGTTGTACCAGCGACGAACAAAAAGCAGTTCATTCATGTAATTTGTGTATCTGTTTGTGCTGGTTCCGCTATCCGATAAAAAATCGATTGTGCAGATCATCAATATTTCATTTTCGATCAAAACTTGCGTTCTGATTTTACAATGAGCGCGTGAAATTTCTATACGAATTTATTTCCTTTAAAAAAAATCGAATTGTTCATAGGAGATGCTTATGGAAAATGTTCAAACGAGTGTTATTGATCTTAATCTCTTTTTCTTTTTGATTAGTCCGATTTTTATTCAAAGTTCTTCGAATGAATATCAGTTTATTAATGTATGCGTAATTTTAACTCTTCCATGCGTTTCAGCATATCATTCTGGATAGGCTCTGGCTGGATATTTGCTGCTTTGGCTCGACTATGAGACATCGCGATGACGTCATTGATGAATGCAGGTTGGTTAGATTCGGATGATGCATAAAGTACATTCTTCAGTTCACCCTTGTTACCATCGAAGTGAAATATTGTCACCAATTTCTTCTCGTGATTGTTCATTTCAAGATTTGCGTATTGTAGAATGAGAAAGATCGGTGGTATTGCAACCCGATCAACAATAAGATCAAATTGACATATCCAATTATTCTTTCTATCATCATCGAATTACCTTTTCATTATTAAAACCACGATGTTCAAGATTGAAATGTCGATGCACGTATTTAATATAAGAAATCAATTTAGATAAAGTGGATGAAATACTTTCCGAACAACGACGTTTTTCATCATTTCGAATATTCTCAACAAGTTCTTGTAATGCTAAGTAAGGCTTGGAATTCCAACCACCAATAAGAAAAACTGTTTTCAGCGAATCGAGCGAGACGTTTTCGCATATTTGTTCGACGATTGTCTCCATAAACTGCTGAGCATGGTATAATGTGATCAATTCGCCGAAACCCTCGATCTCCGCCGTGGAATAATGACCGATAAAAATACTGCTTGTTGAATCGAAAATAGCTGCCACAACCAAGCAAGAATCAACATCCGTCGTCGCTACCCAGGTCGAACAATCCGGTCCGGAACCGACCAGTTCCAGGACCTTCCGGGGATTTCATGGAAGCAGTATTCCGACGATCGGATCCTTTCATCGGATTTAAAAGGTTTTATCGAGAACCAGCAAGAACCCGCCATAGCCGACAGTCGGATACGGTTACCGGTTCCTTTAGTAGGATTCCGGGTCTTTTCTCGTGGTTTCCGGCGCGGAAAATATGAATATCCGGCGGGTTTTCGCCGGAATTAAGCGGAATACTGCTTCCAGGAACGATCGTCCTGGGTAAGACATCGGTGACTATGGCACATTCGTCAACTGGTACATTGATTATTTTTGAATTTCCATCCATCTTCTTGTATACGTTGATAAGAACTAAAATAAGCTCTACATGAAAAGAAAAGTCCATCGCATCGTATACATCACATTTCGTAATCCGGCCAATGATAAAGCGAGCGATCAAACAAAGAAGTTTTAATATGGAAAATAGTCCAATATGGTGTCTTTAAACCTCTAAGAAGATCAAGATATTTGACTAACAGTCTACTCTTAATAAAGTGAGATTTTTTCGCTGATTGACAACTAAAATATTCACGACGGGTCTAATACATTTCGTCGAAACAATAAAATGTTACCAATAGAATTTAAAGGATAGTGTCATTGTCAAATCAAATCAATGAAGTTTTTTTCAAGTCATAATCCATATTAGTCCTAGACTGGTCCTTTCCTCGTCAACATTTTCTTTTCACAAAAACGATCGTTTCAAATTTCATGTTACTATTTGCATAGAACGAGAATTTGAGAAATCCGACATTGAATCGATGACATTATNTTTCGTCGAAACAATAAAATGTTATCAATAGAATTTAAAGAATAGTGTCATTGTCAAATCAAATCAATGAAGTTTTTTTCAAGTCATAATCCATATTAGCCCTAGACTGGTCCTTTCCTCGTCAACATTTTCTTTTCACAAAAACGATCGTTTCAAATTTCATGTTACTATTTGCATAGAACGAGAATTTGAGAAATCCGACATTGAATCGATGACATTATCGTGAACCACAAGCAGGTTGACAAAATGTTTTAAAAGTATGATAGATGGATACCACAATTTCACGGTACTTATTCTTTAACGTCTAACAGCAACAATCGTTATTTTGTTGATTTAGCCTTTGTCTTTACATTTCATATATCTTCATTTGACGTTGTTTTTTTCATTCAGAAATTATATTCTTATCAAAAATTGTGGGCATTTATTTTTATCGTTGTGTAATATTTTCACCTGCACTATTTCATTTGATTAGTGCAACCATCCTATTACCTTTTGGAATGTCCCAGGTCAAAACAGGTACATCGGATCCTGTCGGACGGACATCAAACCCTTTGTCTCATGGGTGATCGGATTCGGTCGGTTACTTTTCACCGAATTCTGACGCAATCTGCTATTTTTCTTTGATATCCGTCCATCGGATCCGTTGAATTCCGACACGATTCATAGATTCGGAACCGATCAGATCTTGATGTAGGATCTGACTTCTTCCGATCGTTTCATACGACACAGAATTCTGTGATAAGACCGATGCCTTTCGGCTGTCGGAACAGGTCGGATTTATCAAGTTCCAGCGATCGGTTTTTCTGCTATCCGATACCAAGAATCCGATCGTTATCGGTCTTGGTTACCTGTCGGAATTAATCGGGAAGACATCTAAATCAAATCAGTATAACAATTAGAATTCATTTTATAGAAGAAATAGTATTAGATAGTTAAAACTTGTATTTATTCTATCGACCCTTCACAGACCAAACTTCAAGATGGCAGACTCTGATTTCAAGTATGAAATCATCTGAAATCACGAAAGCAATCAAAATCGTTGTATCAAATGCATATGATCTCGCAGACACTCAGTTATTTCGACTGATTTTAAGATATGAAATCACTGAAGCTCATGGTCGTCACTTGACATCGCTGAAAGTACATGGAATCAGCATGTCTACTCCACAAAGTCTATTCAAATAGTGATTGACCTANTTTTCTATCTATATCTTTGTTCGTTTCCTTTAGGTCGATTTATAATTCAGATAGAATTTTTCCAAAGTTTGTCCGGTGAATAAAAGTGCCACCATTCGATGCAGAATTAAATTCTGAATCTAATGGTGTAGTTTTCATGGACGGGACATACTTAGTAAAAAAGTTTTTAGCTAACACATCGTTTGTTCGTGCTAGCTCCTTCGTGCTAGCTTCACACTGATAAATAGTTGTCATTTCGACGTAAGAATAGGAATTGGGTTGGTTAACTCATTTTCAATGAAATCAATGTGCTTGACCACGCAGAAAAAGAGAGAAAAAACTCATTGACATTTTCTCGTTCGTAACTGATGTTTCAGTCCGAAGAGTAGTGTAGACATCGTTAACTCGATTCGAGTATTAAACATCCTCTTCGAGTATTAAACATCCTCTTCGAGTTTTAAACTATTGAACTTCTAAATTTAGAGTTCGAGTATTCGAAACTTCCGGTTTCAGAGTACCACTGTACGCTACCAAATATGTTTACTCGCCGATTCCGTAAGAACTAGCCATCACAGAGCACTCGACATCGACCAACACCTCGACAAAGACACCCTCACCCTCATAGTTCAATCTTAGCCAACTGCACGCACCCACACCCACACACCCTACAACCATCAGCAGCACAAGTAAGTGGATAGCAATATCAATGAAAGGAAAACGTTTCAATCGCATATCTTTTAGAGTGAGATTTTCAAAGTGCCACGTGATGGATATGTTCCCAGGTCGATCATTCCGGCGACTGGGTCCATTGAAATCTGAGTCAGTTCCGGTACAGCTCTTCTCGATTCCGGCACAGCTTTCGCCGATTCCAGCAAGTTCCTTGCCGCTGGATTCCGGTCGGAATCCGGCGGCAAGGAAATGGTCGGAAAACGAACCTAACCGGCCGGAACAGACCGTGCCGCAACAACCTGGGTTTGCGCGTCGTGTACAATACCGCTGAAGCAAAAGGAAAGTGTCCTTCGTATATCATACGCGTCGGGATATAATGTAAGTGTAATTTATTTTGACAAGAATATGAATTTCGTTTCCTTTTTTTATTTTAGTTATATCACTTTGGTTGTTTTCCACGTTAGCGGCGCGATATTGTTTTTTCTCGGTTTTTAAAAATAAACTGAAGTTATTGCAATTGATCTGTCATAAGACAGATGAGAAGATCCTATTTTTTCCAGCATGAGTTTCATTTAATTTTGGCGAAGTATCGCGTCGTTCGATGCCAAGTCGAGTGCGATTCAATATGCTAGTCGAGTCAAATGAATTGAAATTCAAATTTATAAATAACTTGTGTTATGTTACTGGTGCGTCAGGGGTTAACTGATGCTCATCCGAGAAACAGATCGAACAGACGCAAGGGTTTCGCAAGAATATCCTTGTTCGCGATTTGACAACACTAGCCAATGAAGTCAAAGAAAAACATGTCTTACTTAAGAGAGAGCCGAGAAGAGAGAGAAAACACAAGAGTCTGAAGCGACATTCCGTACATCATAGACGTTACAGATATCGCTTTCATCGATGATTTTCTTAGTATCTACAGATGCTGTCATATAACTTCTTCGGTCAAATTATCAATTCTTCAATCAACTTTCGAAGTGACTCATGACAAAGAACACATTGCACAGATAATTTTTTCTCATTGTTTCGACGTGGATATATATTGAAATGAAGATATCTTCTTGTATTGCGTATTAACGTTCAAATCATACAAACACATTATTCTCGTTATTCGATGGCATGGATCACGCGTTTCGACGATTTACCCGATCTTTGCTTCATCGAATTGTTTCATTATACTTAACTTCATTCGATATTCTTTGGTCATTCATCGATTTAAATAATCATATTCAACAATTAATTTATGAGCGAGGTTTCTTTCGTCATATTGATTTATCGTCAGCGTCCTTATACAAATTCGATAAGGTTCTTACACGCCTTCCATTACCTGAAATTCAAACACTCGTCATTAATGTTGAAGCGTCGCCTCTTCAACTTTCCCACTTTCCTTACTTACCTCATTTGACTACGTTAGGGATGTATGGATTACGTGAACTAAAACATGCCAATACTTTTATCCTCAGACATTCACATTCACTTGAACGTCTTACGCTAAATTACAAACAAATGATATATTTCAACCTGTAAGTATGATTCAAGTTTAGGGTATGCAAGCGATATTTGACTTAAAAGTTGATTATGTTTTCGTTCGTTTTCTCAGACGTATTTTCCTACAAGAAATAGTTCTTTTGGATGAGATTGATTTAATTATGCCATTTTTTTTTTGTAGTTTAGTTTCTCTGGTCGTGTTTTCCATCCGACTCTACGTCTCGAAGCATTCATGGAAAATGTTCTACAACAATTAAATACACTACGTTCACTGGATTTAGGACTAAGCATTGGCACGGATCTACCATTATGGCATCCAACAACAATTGAAAATGCATTGAATTATCTCTGTATACCTTTACAACACGTAAAACCTTTATGTCAACTTATGTCTCTAGAAAAACTTTCAACGACACTGCAGGAGTTACATGTTGCAATGCGTAGTTTCCATGTCCCAGGCCATGATAATATATACGATATAGGCCGGTATTATGTAAAATGATTAATTTACATTCATTCAGTTTTATTCAATCGATATACACCGACAACAGAATTAAATGGTCAGATATTGAATATTTAACATCTCGAAAGGTAATGCCTGTACGTCGACAAATGAAATTCATTCTTTTCATCACTGCTGCCGATTTAGACTCTATTAATAGATCAACCCTCTTTACTGATGATCGTCAAATTGATATCCAATTTGCATTCATTATGGATGAGAATTCTTTTGTTAGTCAACTAAGTGAAAATGTACCAAATGGAAGTCGTTTTCATCGTTGACAGACAGTTGGTATCACATGTACGATACGTGTGCTAACACGTGAATGGCAACATTTAACAGACCTCGATTGCTATGTAAGTAATTATGTATGTAAATTTGCGCAATTCTACTTTGATAACGTCATCTTAGACCAAGAGAAGACGAAAAATCAAAATTTTTTGAATATTCAATTGCGTTTAATAATATTCTTCCTTCCCTTTAGTTCGATCGTTCTCCGTCGGTCATTCATATATGGTACACTTTGCCATGAGCATTTGATCAATTTTTTGCGCTGAGTGAACCATTTGTATATATAACCAAAGTAGGAACACTTGTCCCATCACAATGCATTTCATCAACCTTTTACTCATCTCAACTTCGTACACTTTCTATGGCACAAAAGGATTTATTACCATCAATTGTTTCAATGCCTCATGTTGTTCAATTCGATCGTATTAATACAATTTATTTATCATTTCATGCTTGGCCGAGTGGTTTAAACTTTCCGAATCTTCATCATCTTATCTTANTTGAAACTTGCATAAATATGAGCAACACCAAAGTTGAGTTCTCCTTCAGCTATTTGTGGACCCAAACTAACTTGTTCTTGTTTAGCTACTTGTTGACCTTAATGTGGACCCATGATTTTTGAATCTTTTTACAGAGAAAATAAATAATCTAAAACGGAAAAAATGGAATTCTTGAAGATTTTCAAAGACAAAACAAAAAAAAAGAAATGGATTTTCTTATTGAATGATTTATGGAAATGAACCAATGAGATTCTTTGTTCAAATCTTCGAAACATTCCTCCGAATGATTTGACGAAGAAAAAAATTTTGAAAAATCTTCAATAGAAATTCTTTAAAAGATTTTTTAAGGTAAAATTTTCACTGAAATTTCTCGAGAAAAGATGTCGCTAGATGAACGAGAGTTTCGTTGGTTCGACCAATTCTTATTGAGAAAATCCAATTTTCTCTCATAGAAATAGAAATGTTTGGTAAACAGACAATAGATTTAGTTTTTAATGCATTAATTCTTCATTTGGTTGGATTGGATTTGATCGGAATAGGAAATGTTCGTTTAGTGCTGATTTATCGATTGATTGTGTTCCTTCCTCGAGATTTTCTTCGATTTCAAATACGAAATATTCGGCAAATCCATTCGGTTTATCATTTCATCAATTTAATTTGGTTAATTTTGTCATTTGGATGGATTCTCATTTCGTTACTATTCGTTTTCTTGTCAGTTTGCCGATTTGATCAATCTCATGCATCGATTTTATTTTACAATTCTGCGTCTTTTCTTTATTTCTTATCAAGTTTTATCGAATTACTCTCTGAGCCATTGTATTTATTAAGTATTTTCACAAAGAACGAATCCGTTCATGAATTTATTCAAATCTTCGCTTCAATAATCGGTAAAGCTGATTTTCCTGATAATTTGTAACATTGTTTTGATTTATCAATAGGATTTGGTCTTCGAACGTATTTAATTTCTCAAAATCCTGACAAATGCTTAATTTATTTTGGATTCGGTTATTTAATATATTCATCAATAATGACCATAAGTTATTTTGGATACTTTTTTCTGCAAACTCAATCGAAACGCCGTGAAATCTTTTTGATTTCATCGTTATTCGATTTAGTCTTCAAACCGGTTTTTCCTTTTCTCAATCACAAGTATCTTTCAAGTGAAATAAAAGAATTTCTCAGTGAAAAACTCTTCAAAGAAAGTCATTTCTATTTGTTTATTATGTTTTCTCTTGTGTCAGATGGTCAACAAGGAATCTTTTATTTCATTTCGATCTTTTCGTCTCTTCTTTATCCAACAATTGAACAAATCTCTTTGAATTATTTTCAAAAAACCTTCTCTTTGATCAAAACCACTCAAATCACATCGAAAGGTATTCGAATTGAATTGAACTTGTTCGAGAAATGTAAATTTGTTTTGATTCTAGATGAACGAACGATGATATTGAATAGTTTGACATTATTAAACAATTTTCAAGATCTTTTTGTGAAATTGTTTGGATTAATAATAATATTTGCGTTCTCATTTCATTATCAAATATTAAATTTGTATTTAATCGCAGTTCTATGCCATGGAATCAATTTATTGAACGAATCTTATGTGAAATCGATGAAAATCATTCGACCAATGAAGTTTTACGAGAATTTCAATATTTTCTCTTCGATTCTTTATTGTTTCTTAAATTATATTTGTTTAAAAAAATATTCTTTTTATGGATTTGTTTTCATTAATATTTTCGAAAATATCTTTCGACTATTTTATCATCGATATATTATTCATCGATATTTATGTCGAATCTCTTGGAAAAATATTTCATTCGTATCATTTGAATACATTTTAATCTTGATTTTCTCCTATATTTTCTGTCATTTCAGTCAACATTTCTGTGAAACAACTATTCATCATTTTATATTTCTTTTTGGTTTATTTCTCACGATGATTTGTTTAATTTTAATTGAAGAAAAGCCTGTTCTTCATTATATTTCTTGTGTATATAAATTAAATTCTGTTCCTTTTGAAAATAAATGATTTCGACATGTGTAACAAGAAGTGAAATAGATGTCGTTTGTTTCTCACACAAAAGATTTCTTGAAAGGTGAACATGTTCGTGAGTTTTTCTCATCAAAAAATCTCCTATTAGTCAACACAATGACACATAATTATGAAGGAAAAAAAGACTTTTTTTTGTTCCTTCTTTATCTCTACATACTTGTGAAGGTTTCTCAGTGGAAGAATGAAAGAGAAAAACACATCGTATGTGAGATAAACTCCTTTTTTTGAGATTTATTTCCAAAAAGATGTCAGAAAATGTTGATCAACGTTTTCAATGTAAGTCAAATTCGTCGATCTCATTCGAATTTCTATGTTTTATTTCACAGATCTTGGTAATCTTCCATTATCGAATGTTCCAATTTTCAAAATAATCTTTTTTTCAACGATATTTCATCTAATATTCTTTGAAATTCTTCCAATGAAAATCCAACCATTAATCAAAAGTTATATAATTTCAACATTTCATGCGATTATTTCTGTTTTGAGTGTGACTTTGTATTTTCTTAAATATGAAATTAATTTTCAACAAATCAATCGACTTGTTGGAGGAGGTGTATTTGGTACAGGTGATGAATTTATGGTTTATAATATTTGTTATTCCACTGGTTATCTTCTTTATGATTTAATTTTAATGATTTTTTATAAATCTGTTCGATCTGCATCTGCAATTATTCATCATGTTTTGATTATTACATCGTTTCTCATTGGTTTATTTAGTCAAGTGTGTCATCCGTGTCATTTCTATTTTTTAGCAGAAGAATTATCAACAATTCCATTGAATTTAAAAACGATTTATCGAAATCGAGATCGATTTCATAGTATATTTTCGGTATTATTTGTGATTTGCTTTTTTCTAAGTCGTTTAATCTTTGGATCAATTATTTCTTTCTATGGATTTCGTGCTGCACCTCAATTTTTTCAATTAGCTTGGGTAAATGATGATAAATCTTCATTTTTAATCGGTTTCATCCAAGCATTTCTCTGTATTCTTACCCGAGCATTGAATTTCTATTGGGCTTACCTAATTTATCGAAAGATCTTTCCAAGCAAATCAAAAGTAGATTAAATTTTCATCTCAAAGTTTTCGTCTTGTTTCGAATGGCATAGAAGATTGAAAAAGCAGAGGCAATAAGAAATGCAATGATCCAAAAGATCGTGGCAATGAAAAGAATTTTTCTTGTTGATTGTGCTCGTGTTGGAGTCAATAAACTTTGTTCAAATAAATCAAAATCTATACAAACCAATCAAATTCTTCTCTTTATCAAATTCCAATCATCACCAAACCTTTGAGAAAAGTTAAACTTGATTGATATTGAACACTCGAACCGAAACAGAACGAACAAGTTTTCTCCGAATGAAACGTTTCTCGACAAGTCCGATTTCTTCTGTAAATTGTTTCATTGATTCGGTTCCAAATGGTGAATGGAGACCACGAACAACTTTGATTTGAATTCGTTCGATTTTCTAAGTTTTTGTTCATCGAAAGATACTTTTTTGTGAATTCGGAGAACTTACGACAATCGAATCCGTTAATAAAGATTTGAAGACATTTCTCATTGAAATTGTCCAATTGATCAAAACAACGAATACAATGAGTGTGAAATCCACATTGTTCAACGATTCGTGGTGTCCATTCGAATTGTATTTGAATTTGATCTTCGATCGTTGTTTCAACAATTGATTTCACTTTCCACTGAAACGCACTGATCATTGAACATTCATTCATTTCGATATCGCATTGACTTCGAGAAATCAAGTCGATATGAATGGATTCGTTGAAAAAAGTATAAATTAGATCATTTTCAATATTCAACAGAGCGATTGAGGGAGTTTTCAGACATTGACCGGTTTTATCTTCGTCGTTGAGATATCCAATGATCTGATAGGGTAAACGAGAACGAATTTGATCTTTTGCAGAATTTGTGTATTCGATAATTTCGATTTTGATGAGAATTTCGTCGTCTTGATGATTCACGTTGAAAGTATTTGCTGGGATTGTTAACGAACATGGATCAACAATTGAAACTGTTGATAAGGATGAAGTACATTGGAAGAAATCTCCATCGGGATCAAATACTTGAAGAGAGTAGAGGAACGTCTCGTAGATGTTGATGGAAATGTGTTTGGGAAAACGAGTCATTGGAGGAGAATTCACTTCGGAAATATTCATAAAGGAAATTAATTCAACTGGTGTTTTAGTAACATCAAAATTATTCCAACAACAGGAAGAATTCGCAAAAGGAAATCGAAATTCATAGGAAAGGTCGTTCGAAGACGAAGTGACAAGGTCAACTGTATAGAAAAGAAGACTTCGTGGATATTCTACAAAGAATTCACTTTGTTAATCCTATAATAAAGAAAATAGTTATTAACCATGTAATTTCGAATAACATTCCATATTTGAAAGTTGAAATGACCATGATTGACATTGATCAGAAGAGTTTAAACATTGAAGTCCAAGGTAAGATTCAATTGGAATCGATTTTGAATGATAATAATCACATAAATCAGAAGATTTATCTGATAACGCCAATGTCACTAATAACTCCATCGAAATTTGATTGAAATCGTTGGATTTCAAACGACGCCATGTTATCGAAATTCCTCGATAACCAATATCTGTTAGATTTATGATACATTCAACACTATAGAAGAAATAAAGAAGATTTAAGAAAATATTCATTTCTTCCTTTATTCAAATTCAACCGCTTTTTTATTCAAATTTATTTAATCGAAAGCGAAGAAATATGATCATTGCAAGAAACACAAACGAATCTTGTATTAGGATGGTCACAATAAATGAGATTTGTTCTGATTATTTTTATTAAACAACGCAGTACAACATCTGGTAAAGGAAAACGTAGGAAAAGCGAAGATTAGTTTGCATTTCTCTTCAGAGTTCTCCAATCATGCCGTTTTCAACGAGTGTATGTTGGGAATATTTCTGACAAGAAGTAAAGGTTAAATTCAGTTCGGAGTCGATATTTAGCGATGTAAGAGGACATCGATGTTATTTGAATCAGAGTTAGCAACAATAATATCAGGTTTAGAGTCTCCATTCAAATCAGGTACTGTTACGTGGACAGGCTGTCTGCCAGTTCCGTAAATAACTTGATCAAGAAATGTCCTATTACCTACATTGAGGAGAACATTGATGGTCTTCGTACCCGCATTTAGGTCAACAATATCTGGTTAACTATTGAGATTGAGATCAGCAACTACTAGTGACCGTGCGGCATTACCTGCCACGTAAGCAGTCTGGCTGAGAAATGTTCCATTACCTGCGTTGAAGTGAACATAAATGACGTCGTCTCCATAGTTCGCGACGGCAATATTAACCTTATTATCAAGATTAAAGTCGGCAACTGCTACTCCAAATGGTTGAGTCCCAGTTGGATAAGTCACTTGATTGTGAAAAGTGTCATTTCCTGTATTCAAGAAAATAGTAATGCTTCGGTTTCCTGTGTTTCCAACAACAATATCATGTTTATTATCTAAATTAAAATCTGCTACTGCAAGTGATTGTTGATTCGAAGCAGTTTTATAAGTGACTTGTTTAAAAAAAATGAAAACTTGAAATGAAAGGTGAAACCTGTATGATCATTTTATAGAAACACGATTTGCTGTCAGGTCGAGACAGATGAATAAGGAGACATTTCTTTTTAAAATAGTTATACTTTGTTCTTTTATCGTGTTCGGTTTATTAACAAGAGTTGTTGTTCTTCTTGATTGTTGAGATTTGTTCTGTTTAAGGATAACTATTGGGACTAATATACTGATAACCAACACAGAGACAATAATAATTGATACCATTGCGTATATAATCTTTCTTTTCGGATTATACCAACATCTAATATAACAATTTACATTACTTTCGTTAGTCAACATCATCGATATACATTGACAATATCTTTGTCAACTCGTTTGTTGTCTACACCATCAAATTACAATCATCAGTTGAACGATACGACTAAAATACAAAATCAAATCAATCACACTTCATACTCTTCAGTTTGAAGTCCTTTATGAGAATAACGCTGGTCATATTTCGTACTTTGTTTTTGTCTGTTGAGAAAAAGTGCAGAAAAACATAAAATGAATAGTGTAGGTATATAATATTAAGAAATGTGAAATATAATTAAATATTTTTATATCTGACCTTTCATATTTAAGAGATTTCGAGGTAAGAAAGACATGTGTCATCAAACAAGATTTCACTTTCCATTATCAATGTATTTACAAAACGTATTGACGTCTAATAAATGAGTAATAACCAACAATGACTACATTCAAATCTGCCAAAAAGCGTCTTTTTCAGATGACCTCCAACGGACTCAAGTCGATGAGACAAAAAATGTTGCACTTTCTAAATTTCATAATTTTTAACATTCCTTGTTTTCAACACTCGAATTTTGAATAGATATCTCGACATTTTATTCGTGCATATTAGTCTTTCAAGAACTGCGTTAACAAGTTATCTGATGTTTTTATAAAAAGAAAATAAATAGATAAGAGATAAAACTAAATATTTCTTTCACAAATGAAAACTATAAAAATTTATCAAGTAGATGCTTTTACTGATGAAATCTTCCGAGGAAATCCCGCTGCAGTATGTCCATTAGACAAATGGTTGAGCAATAATTTATTACAAAAAATCGCTGCAGAAAATTTTCTTCCTGAAACCGCATTTTTCGTTCGAAATGTCGATTCATCCAACAATGAAAGTTATGACATCAAATGGTTTACACCTGAAATTGAAATGGATTTATGTGGACATGCAACATTAGCTTCTGCACATGTTTTGTTCAATCATCTTCATTNAGACATTGTAAATAATGTATAGTTGTCTCGTTTGAAAGAAATACATGTTTGATAGAATATCATTCTACTATGCACATATTTTCCTTTCCTTTCTTATCATCAGTATTTATGAATAAATCAAACAATTTCTATCACTATTCTCGATTTCTTTTCATGACTCAAGTATGTTCTATGGCGTTCTTCTTACGTCAAGTGACAGAAAACTTTCTAACACATGCCGCAAAATGTTCCGAGCCTGTATGCAAACAACATAGTATGAAACGCGTTTTTTGTATTAATTATTCTAAATAAACAAAACCTATTAGTCTAGTCTTTTTTGATTGACTAATACTTAGAAACAACCCAGTTTTAATCAGATGCTTGTTGAAAAGAGAGAAAAAATATTTTTCTCAAAATTTATTTTATTTTTATTGCTAAAAATAGGCTAGGGAGTACTAGGGTTAAAACGAGGTGGAGAGGTCAGATTGGCAAATGTTCCTGGAAAACTACCAGATTCTAAAATAGAAGAATATCAACAGAAGAAATAGTCAAGCGTTCGAACTAACCCATTAGATTGATATCAATAGTTTGAGGACATAAAGAAATATCGACATATAGGTCATAACATTTTCATCGATTATAATAATGTTGTTGCAATTCATTAGCCAAAGAGTTTAATGGTAGACTATATTCATAATAATGATAAAATTCACAAGAGAATCCTTCAATACCGGTGATACCTAAAGAATGGAGGGCATGTATTCTATTACGATCGCACTGTGTCGCAGTCAACGCAGATTTTTTGGCACTAGTTCGCGGTTGCGAAGACTGCGGCGCAGTTACACCGCAATCGTTAAAAAATAGGCAACATGGGATAACTATTCGCCCTGACGTCATTTCATAAATGACATCAGTTTTTTTTTCGATATTGGTCAGTCTTCTATTCACTGAATTTAATGTCGTTTTGATCGATCGAAGTTCATCAATAACGATTTGTTCAAATGACGATGTTGTTGTGGGATTTGTTTGTTGAGTGTGAACCAACGGAATAGAAATGACGGATGATTTGACCAGATCTTCTTGTTCACTGTTTATGTTCTCATCGTCTCTGATGTGACAGCGATCGGTTTCGAGGATAATCGGCATCATTTCTGTTGCCAATGCATTTTCTTCGACGATCTTCTCCATTGTTGTCGATGATTCTGAAAGAAATAGATTTATTTCGACTAAATAGAGTTAGAATTGAGAGAAGAATTTGTCAAATTTATTAGTCGATAAGGAGAAAAGAACTTACGAGTGGTTATTGAACTGATCAATTCTTTTTCTTCATCATCATTGTGAATGTTTTATAGAATCGACGAATTTCTTAAAAGAGTTTTTTGTTGTTCAATCTTCGACGATTTTTCTTCTTTGATTTGGTTTCCTCTTCTTTCTTGAAGATCATCACGTCAAAATTCCTATTATTCTTCTCGAACTGATTCACTTTATCCCAGGTCGAAAAATCCGAGCCGGAACCAGAACATTCTGGCAATTGCGTGGAAGCAGGATGTCGAACAGGATATTTTCCGCTTGGCTCAGACTAGCTTCTAGTAAGTTCCAGTCGGAAAACGGCTGGAATTTGCCGGAACCGTCCGAAATACCCTTGTAAGGGTGTGATTTTCAGCAGGTTCTGTGTGGATCCATAGCTGGGAACCATCTTCCTGGGTATCATCGAAAGACAGCAATGTTTCAAATCTATACCTAGCTGAAGAAAATATTAAAAAAAAACAGAAAAGAAAAAAGATTCATCTGATCCTACCAGAAAATTGGAAATGCAACAAATCTCAAATTATCTTAAAAAATCCTCGAAGTTTGAGGTAGAAATGCGTTCAAGATATACTTTCTCAAGTGTCGTGTCTTTAAGTTTATCTTCTCTGAACGATACCTATATTAACCCGTTCAGGACGGGTGCTACACTATATGTACCAGTTTTTTTTTAACAGAAATATATTATCTACCGATGATGATAGGCAGTTGTGGTTACGTTGTGGTTTGCATATATTAACAAGTAGTGTTCATCCTTTGGATTCGCTGACCCTTTTCTGAAAGAATTGTCCCAGTGCTGACCACATTCAAACACTTTGAAAGACAACTAAGGCACTGCGATTTCTACTAGTCCTCAACTGAACCATGGCATTATGTCATACACTAGAGTGAATAGAAGACAGAGATTGTTCTTTTTCAGGAACCGAACCGATTAACTATTTTTCAGTGAGTAATTCTCGAGAACTCACTGGGTTGACTGAAAACCCCATCCCTCAATGGCTAGTCGTTTGTCAAACTCCCTTCGGTTGGCCACTCACGGCTCGCCGTTGGGAGANCTCTTTGCAAACAGGCGGGCTATATACATACCATTTTAGATCCACCTCTAAACGTAGTAATACTACATGTATAAATTCAGTCTGCGGCGGCTCCAGATAGCCAAAATCCACTTCTGTTCAATGATCATCATCTCGTGCGAGTTTTCAATCACCGATACGTGCAGAGAACTCAAAGACAAGTATCTAAACCAAATGAAATGTACGTTCTCTTACAGTGTAATATTAAAGAACACTACGAATATATATGTCATATCTTAGCGCACAGACTATGATATTGAATTATGCACAGCTGAGCGGTTTCAGCTTTGTCATCATTCAAAAGACAGATCTCAGAGCAAGGGTACAATAGGCCCCTATCATTAAATTTCATACGACTTCAAACTTCAGAGCGTTTCAAACAGTGTCGAGATGTTCGATTTAAGCAAACCATAAACACAAAACCCTGTTATCAGAATAATATACAAACGAGCTCGAAAATATATTGCAAAGCTCTTTCCACGATAAAGTACTCCAAAAACACTTCCCTGATATTTTAACATGGATAAGTATCAAGAGTGAATAGTGCTGATCATATTCGACAAAATAACTTGTTTTCAGACTACGCTGGTGGTGGGAGATGATTAATCTAACAGAACGATTGGGTGTGCTGTTTTTTAATTATTCTCTCTTCACTATGTCATTCTAGTCAGCTTATAACAGTGTTTCTTTCAAACGCACCGTAGAACTCATACATAACGGAAGAATACTACTCTCTCCAAAAATGAACCACAAAAAGAAATCAAACCTCCTCATCAAACAATCAATACATTTAGGCTTTGGAATAAAACATGCAACAGCTTTCTTATAATGTAGAATCGCTGCCATTCAGTGTACCACGCCCTGATCACATTGGCATTAGTAGAAATAACATCTGAACAGCATACGTGCTGTACTATCATCGATCCCATTCTTCTACATCTCCAATATAGTCGAGCTGTCTGCAGTAATGTTGTCTTGTCCATCATACCCTCTCAGAAACAAACTCTAAACCGAGAGGATCACTCATAAACGCACCGCACTATGGCGTCTCTTCTACCAAACACTACTCCGTTATACTTTCGTAACTAAACCATTCATTTTCACCGATGCACATGAATTTCTCAAGGAAAAAAAAGCATTACCATTCAGGCAACATCCACTTCTTAAAACAACATTCCCTTTCTATACCTTTATTACTCATCAATTTCACGATGACCACACAACAAATGATATCTACTAAGTTCTCAATCGAAAAAGATCTGATCAACACAAAGAGTCATCAGATCCACGGTCAGTTGTTCTCCGATTGAATTTAAAGCCAGATCTATACCATCTTGGCGCTCTAAGAATGAGACAAAACAGAAATTACAATCTTCTTCGACCACAGCATTAATCTTACTATATTCCTTTCCAATGCATCTGCAATGTGTTGAGGTATTCTATCACAGATTTCGTAGCGCCCGAGTTCAAGTGTGGTGAGTGTCTGTAGGTGTGATATAATTAGACTCAGTGCTTCATCTTCTATGAAATGAGATAAATATTACCGTATTCGTCCGCAGCGCATTAGCAATGTGTTGTGCTCCTTCAGCACCGATTCGGTTCGCCCTGAGGTCAAGTGTGGTGAGTATCTGTAGGTGTGATATAGACCGAGTGCTTCATCTCTAATGAAATGAGATCAATATTACCGTATTCGTTCGCAGCGCATCCGCAATGTGTTGTGCTCCTTCAGCGCCGATTTCGTTCCCACTGAGGTTAAGTGTAGTGAGTGTCTGTAGGTGTGAGATAGACTGAGTGCTTCATCTCTAATCAAATGAGATCAATATTACCGTATTCGTTCGGAGCGCATCCGCAATGTGTTGTGCTCCTTCAGCGCCGATTTCGTTCCCCCCGGAANACATTGTTCTAGTACTTCAGCATCGGTTTTCCTCTGCTGAAACACAGATTGACTATGTGATTTGCCTGAAAATCTATTTTATTCCTTAATTGATGCGCATTCATAGTCCCTCTTACTAAAACTATTTTCGACGATTTGATTTCACTGGTAGCATTAACCCCTTGCGAACAGGATTATTTTTAATAGAGCAAACAAGACTTTACACACTCTGGTGGATGCAAGAGACAATGTGTGCGAAGATAAATAAAAATAGACGATAAATGATAGCAGTGGACTATGACATAGCGAAAATTAGAAGTGATGAATATAACTACAAAACGAAAAAAGATGAAAGAGGTCACTATACGAATGATAGTATAATGCATTAGCGAGATATATATAGTGGCATAGATCATTAAAATATCGTAAATAGTATGCTCAAATAAATTATGAGTTGATTTCAACCCAGACGTATACATACGTCGTCTGTTCTCAGAGGGTTAAAAACATACAACATGGGATGAATCCAATACATCTTATAAATGAAATTTCATGAATATTGGATATCACGAAATATCAGGTGTTATTACCCGTAGTTTCTCAACCACATATCGTGTATATACGTTACCCTTTGACTTTGGAAAGCTTTGCTTTATTGACAATATACTTACAAATACCGTGTTCAATTACGTTATTGAGCTATATGTAGCTGACTGGACGTCATTTGAATATGTTCTTTTTTCTTAGAATAGCTAAAGCTTTCCCATTGGTAAAAAACCTTTTATATTTGGAATACTACTCCGCAGTCAAATAATGTGGAGAAATCATCTGGTAGTAATTCAGTCGAATGAAATCGTTCAATAGCATCATCTTACGTCACTTGAGATTGGAACAACTGATATTACTTATATCTGTTGGCTTGAAAGATCATAATGCATATTTTCCTTTATTGTAAATTAGTTTTCATTGAATGTGTTCGCCAATCTGAGTCAAAAATAAACAATTGTTTCGTTAGCTACTACTAACAAGTAGCGCTCATCTATTGGATTCGCTAACCCTGTTCTGAAAGAATTACAAAACTCAGATAAAAACTCTAACGTATATCTCACTCTAACGCGCTTCGAATGAAAGCCACTTTTATGCACATTCTTTTCTTTTAATTCTTTTCTACTTTATTCATGCCAAACTGCTTTCAATTCATTTGTCCAAAGACGTGAGCAAAAGGAACACTGTTTCCAAAGATTTACGAATCGACTCTCTTCCCACTATTTACAATCAAAAATCAATTTACTTACACTTATTTTATCTCTTCTAGGCCACCCAAAACAAACTCCCGGTCGCTCGTCGGTTCACCTCCGGTCGACCACTCGCGGCTAGCCGTTACATGTCCAACTTTCATTCTTTCATCTAGCTTAAATTCCCTTCAGTAATGTTATCAATATGCTGATGAGTATGAGTATCCAGCAGGCGGANGTAGAAATAACATCTGAACCGCATACGTGCTGTACTATCATCGATCCCATTCTTCTACATCTCCAATATAGTCGAGCTGTCTACAGTAATGTTGTCTTGTCCATCATATCCTGTCAGAAACAAACTCTAAACCGAGAGGATCACTCATAGACGCACCGCACTATGACGTCCCTTCTACCAAACACTACTCCGTTATACCTTCGTAACTAAACCGTTCATTTTCACCGATGCACATGAATTTCTCACGGAACAAAAGCATTACCATTCAGGCAACATTCACTTCTTAAAACAACATTCCCTTTCTATACCTTTATTACTCATCAATGTCACGATGATCACCCAACAAATGATATCTACTAAGTTCTAAATCGAAAAAGATCTGATCAACACAAAGAACCATCAGATCCACGGTCACTTGCCCTCCGATTGAATTTATAGCCAGATCTATACCATCTTGGAGCTCTAAGAATGAGACAAAACAGAAATTACAAACTTCTTCGACTACAGCGTCAATCTTACTATATTCCTTTCCAATGCATCTGCAATATGTTGAGCTATTTCACCACCGATTCGGTTCACACTGAGGTTAAGAGTAGTGACTGTCTGTAGGTGTGAGAGAGACTGAGTACTTCACCTTCTACGAAATGAGATCAATATTACTGTATTCGTTCGGAGCGCATTAGCAATGTGTTGTGCTCCTTCAGCACCGATTTCGTTGCGCCAGAGGTGAAGTGTGGTGAGTGTCTGTAGGTGTGATATACACTGAGTGCTTCATCTTCTACGAAATGAGATCAATATTACTGTATTGGTTCGCAGCGCATTAGCAATGTGTTGTGCTGCTTCAGCACCGATTTCGTTCCCACCGAGGTCTAGTGTAGTGAGTGTCTGTAGGTGTGATATAGACTGAGTGCTTCATCTTCTATGAAATGAGATGATTATTACCGTATTCGTTCGGAGCGCATTAGCAATGTGTTGTGCTCCTCCGGCACCGATTCGGTTCCAACTGAGGTCAAGTGTGGTGAGTGTCTGTAGGTGTGATATAGACTGAGTGCTTCATCTTCTATGAAATGAGATGAATATTACCGTATTCGTTCGGAGCGCATTCGCAATGTGTTGTGCTCCTTCAGCACCGATTTCGTTCTCACTGAGGTTAAGAGTAGTGAGTGTCTGTAGGTGTGAGAGAGACTGAGTACTTCACCTTCTACGAAATCAGATCAATATTACCGTATTCGTTCGGAGCGCATTCGCAATGTGTTGTGCTGCTTCAGCACCGATTTCGTTCCCACCGAGGTCTAGTGTAGTGAGTGTCTGTAGGTGTGATATACACTGAGTGCTTCATCTTCTACGAAATGAGATCAATATTACCGTATTTGTTCGGAGCGCATTCGCAATGTGTTGTGCTGCTTCAGCACCGATTTCGTTCCCACCGAGGTCTAGTGTAGTGAGTGTCTGTAGGCGTGATATAGACTGAGTGCTTCATCTTCTATGAAATGAGATGAATATTACCGTATTCGTTCGGAGCGCACCCGCAATGTCTTGTGCTCCTCCGGCACCGATTCGGTTCCAACTGAGGTCAAGTGTGGTGAGTGTCTGAATGGAAGTAATGTATGAGGAAAAGCGTAAGTAGTAAATAAAACCTTTGATTGCACTTCTGATGGTATGTATGGGATTTAAAATAGTTATGTTTGGGGTCGATTTTTAAGGAAGAGTTGGGTGTGGATGTGAATACTTCGGGTGGATGATGGTGCTAGTTGTTGTTGCGGAAAGAAGTCCTGTTTGGAGAGTCGAGGCTGGAGAATACTGTGATGGGATTGAAGCGGAAAGAGTAGGAGATAAGTTTCAATATTTGTTGGTGTTACTGAGATTTCTCTTTTGAAGACGCGCTGCAGTGAAATCCAGGTCCTACTAGTCTGAAATGTAGTAGCGGGACTTGATGTACCGGTGTTGAGAATGAAGATTGGCATAGGTGAAGCAACTGTACAGTGTTGTTTGCTTCAGTAGATGAGTTCCGTCAAAAGTTGTAAGTGATGCAATTTTCTTATTGAGTAGTGCAACGCAGAAACGGTAACGTAAAAGTAAGCTTTTTGCTCGTTCATGGTGGCGTATCGGACGAATGCATCCTCAACGAACATAAAATAAAAGGGAGAGAGTGATGGAATGCTTGATTTCATATGACTTCTGGCTGTGGTTGTCTCTTGCTAGGAAATCGTTTATGAATTATGAAACTAGTTTGGGTTTTCCTATGAGGGAATCTACGACATCAAGTACCATTAAGCTTATGTATAGTACAGTCTACAAGAATGTTAGGATACCAAGTAAACTTACTTGATATCGCTGGTAAGTACTCAGGATTTGATTGAGCCGTCGACAGATATTTTGCATTGAACAAAATAGCGTCCGTTCATTTTGATGATCCATAATTCGATAAACAATTTCGAGGGGTAATGTGGAAAATGTGTGCATGTTGTACTTCAATCGTGCAGCAGACTGTACCGTAGAGACTGAAAGCGATGAAAAATATTTGGTTTTGTTCGTTATGAGTAGTAACTCATGGTGGTAATGTATTTATATATGTTTTTGACGAAAACAAATGAAGTGTAACCATTTCAGCAGTTACGAATTGTTGGCGTGCGCAGAGAGGTGGCGTTAGAATACGCATGCTCATTGAATTCTGTTTTCACAGATACAGTGGTAAATTAAAAAATTGAAAACAATGACATCTTTTATGATTTTGGCTCCTTTGGAAACCGATTCTATTTTCATCAAAAGGAATTAACATCTCTAAATTAATTTTTTTAACTAAAAATTGTGATGGAATATGAAAAACTCTACAGCTTAGATTAGAGATCCATTTTAATTATGTATGTTTTGTCTTCGAGAACACTAAATGTTACCCAGTCAGTTTTCACTGATTGTTTTGCGACATTTGACGTTTTTTTAGTTAAAAAAAACAGATGATTATAATAAGTTCGACGATATAGTTTGCTGATAGAGATCCATGCAGCATCCCTCAGTGTGTTTGTTTCCTTTTTTTCAAATCTTATTCGACGATAGATAAAACAAAAACAAAAATGATCGTTTCTCAATCTGAAAAAAAAACAGTCACATGATCTTTTATTTCTTTTTAAAACCAAAAACTATAAAAATGAGCTGCGGTTTACCGCAGAGGTGACATAAACTAGAACATTTAAAGTTAAGTTAAATTGGTATCCATAAGCTGCGTATCTGGTTTTTCTGTTGAAGGGTGAGTTAGAACATTCATTATCTTTCATATAAATAGAATGACAGCTCCCTCGTCGAGGTGCTCTAACAATTTGCTGTCAATTCATTTTGATGAATTAATTATCGTATGGTATTTTAATAAATAAGAAAACGTGGAAAACCTTCGAAACACCAAATTTTATCGATTCTCTTAGAAAACAAGACGTTTAACTTATTGGAAAAGTTAAACCGCTTTTCAATATCCCTAAACAGGTGGTTTTAACGATAAATATGAAATCTACAAGAACGCTGTAGTATCTTACTTTAAAACATCCATAGTCCTGCTATCAGCTAACTTCCGATTAGTTTTTTACAATATAATAACTGTGATAGACAAATGCGAGCAGTTACAACGAAGGGCAAAAATAGTACTTGATGTATTATTTGGCTGTGGAGGATAGTATTTTATGTAACGCGTGCTATGTTATATCGGTTTCATAATATTTTACTCTATGCTTTCTGCAATAAATTATGAAACGAATGGAACTACATTGTTCTAGTACTTCAGCATCGGTTTTCCTTTGCTGAAATACAGATTGCCTATGTGATTTGCCTGAAAATCTATTTTATTTCTTAATCGATGCGCAATCATAGTGCCTCTTACTAAAATTATTTTCAACGATTTGATTTCACTAGTAACATTAACCCTTTGGGAACAGGATTATTTTTAATAGAGCAAACAAGACTTTACACACTCTGGTGGATGCAATTGAGACAATGTGTGCGAAGATAAATAAAAATAGACGATAAACGATAGCGGTGGACTATGACATAGCGAAAAATTAGAAGTGATAAATATAACTACAAAAAGAAAGAAGATGAAAGAGATCACTATACGAATGATAGTATAATGCATTAACGATATATATAGCGACATAGATCATTAAAATATCGTGAATAGTATACGGAAATAAATTATGAGTTATTTCAACCCAGACGAATACATACGTCGTCCGTTCTCAGAGGGTTAAAAACATGCAACATGGGACGAATCCAACACATCTTATAAATGAAATTTCATGAATATTGGTTATCACAAAATATCAGGTGTTATTACCCGTAGTTTCTCAATCACATATCGTGCATATACGTTACCCTTTGACTTTGGAAAGCTTTGCTTTATTGACAACATACTTACAAATACCGTGTTCAATTACGTTATTGAGCTATATATAGCTGACTGGACGTCATTTGAATATGTTCTTTTTTCTTAGAATAACTAAAGCTTTTCCATTGGCTAAAACCTTTTTGTATTTGGAATACTACTCCGCAGTCAAATAATGTGGAGAAATCATCTGGTAGTAATTCAGTCGAATGAAATCGTTCAATAGCATCATTTTACCTCACTTGAGATTGGAACAACTGATATTACTTATATCTCTTGGCTTGAAAGATTATAATGCATATTTTCCTTTATTGTAAATTAGTTTTCATTGAATGTGTTTGCCAATCTGAGTGAAAAATAAACTTAATTGCTTCGTTTGCTACTACCAACAAGTAGCGCTCATCTGTTGGATTCGCTGACCCTGTTCTGAAAGAATTACAAGACTCAGATAAAAACTCTAACGTATATCTCACTCTAAAGCGCTTCGAATTAAAGCCACTTTTATGCACATTCTTTTCTTTTAATCCTTTTCTACTTTATTCATGCCAAACTGCTTTCAATTCATTTTTCCAAAGACGTGAGCAAAAGGAACACTGTTTCTAAAGATTTACTAATCGACTCTCTTCCCACTATTTACAATCAAAAATCAATTTACTTACACTTATTTTATCTCTTCTAGGCCAACCAAGCAAACTCCTGGTCGCTAGTCGGTCTACCTTCGGTCGGCCACTCGCGGCTATCCGTTACATGTCCAAATTTCATTCTTTCATCTAGCTTAAACTCCCTTCAGTAATGTTATCAATATGCTGATGAGTATGAGTATCTAGCAGGCGGACGTTAATCAGCTATTTCGTTTTGTTCTACATATTGCTGCTTCAAACACTATCGTCCACAAAAACTCTTCCTTGCAAAAATCGTACTTTTTCTGAAAAAACAGAACAGAATTTTTCTACAGAAAGAAAACACCAGGTTCGATATCTTCGATCCCGATTACCCTTCGGTCAACCGTTACTCGACAACTAAAAAGATTTTCATTCTTTAATTAGTAATTAGCTAATTGGAATTCCGAAAAAGTAACCTCAGATTCGTAATCCTCGACCTCGGTTATCTCATCAGTGGTCAATCTTTGATGATTATAGATAAATTTCATTGATTTGTAATATGCTGCAATCTGATTGGATTATGCAAACAAACAAACTTTATGCAGTTTCACGACTGTATTTATATCGCTATAACCCTTTCTTTCAGAAAAGGGAATAAACGCTCTCACTTAGATCTCAATCTAATTGGGTTCGAATTGAAGTCATTTTTATGCTCATTCTTTCATTTTCTGCTTCATTCATGTCAGATTACTTTCAATTCATTTGTCCAAAGACGTAAACAAAACGAACACCGTTTATAAAAATTTATTCATCGACTCTCTTCTGACTACTCTGAATAAAAACTCAGTTTATTGTCACTTATTTTATCTCCTCTAAGCAATTCAAATAAAACGCCTAGTTGCTCGTCAGCCTGCCTCCGGTCGGCCACCGAGGATGTGGATGAGAGTGATACTCACCCAAACTATCTTTGTGTGTGTTAGTGCTAAGAAAGCCATCCAAGATGTGCTAGATGCTGTAAAGCCCGAAAATCCGCACAAATGTGATTTGTGTTCGAGTGTGTTGTTGATTTTGGGGAGCTAAAGTAACACCAATATGTTGATCGCAACAGATTAAAAACGTTTTCATGTCATAATATAGTGAGAAAGCGAGCGTATTAGTAGAATCACTCACAGTGCTCTATTGTCGGTCTAGGATATAACTACTGAAAGGCTTATTTGATTGTGATAGAATTCCAATGGCGTATTGTTACGTCAGAATCTTACTGGAACTCGAAGATCAGACTGATTGAATATCTGACTCCTGAACTATTGAGAAAATATCGATAATTCTCTGCGTTTTCTTTTTATTTTGCAGCTGATACATTATTTCCAGCATATCTAGCTTTCGGATGGAATCCGACATGTTCCTATCGATTCAAATCTGTTTTGAGTTTCACATATGCATTGATTGTGGTCATAAACGATAGTCAAAAGGATTAATCTAAATGAACTACAACCATTATCTTAAATTATATTCCTTGTGGAATTAAAACCGATTTGTTTCTACTCACCCTCAAATGTAGTTCACTCAGAAAAAGAGTCAGCGAATTCATCCGATGACTGTTACTTGTATTACCTGAGAAATGTCGGCAAGACAAAGTTGGAAGAAAAAATAACCAAGTTCTTAACTGAATTCTTATCTTCTTCACCTGTTTCGAGCGTAGTGAAGTGACTTTGTGAGTGTTTTTCTTATCTTCTTAATTTTTTCCTATGGGAGTTTATTTAAAAACCAACAGAAAACAGAAATATTTTTGCCTCCGAAAAAATTCAAAAAGAGAACAACGATCGATGTGAAGCTAGCACGAAGGAGCTAGCACGAACAAACAATATGTTAGCTAAAAACTTTTTTACTAAGTATGTCCCGTCCATGAAGACTACACCATTCGATGCAGAATTAAATTCTGAGTCTAATGGTGATACTTTTATTCACCGGACAAACTTTGGGAAAATTCTATCTGGATTATAAATAGACAAAGGGAATAAAGGAAAAGAACAAAGATATAGATAGAAAATTTTCCAAAGTTTGTCCGGCGAATAAAAGTATCACCAATCGATGCAAAGTTAAATTCTGAGTCGAATGGTGCAGTTTTCATGGGCGGCACATACTTAGTAAAAAAGTTTTTAGCCAACATATCGTTTGTTCGTGCTACCTCCTTCGTGCTAGCTTCACACTGATAGAACAACGTCATCCTCCATATTGCCTCTTTTTTTTAGGGCTGCGTCGCAGTTGCCGCATTTGTCTAGCCAATCTATTACTTAGAATGCTCGCTTGTTGTCGCTTGCCACGCTGCTTTATTTGAGAAAAGATCACGCTTTTATACAGTCAAAAAAAAAGGAGAAAACCTAATGAATCTATATGGAAATATTCCATCTAAGATAATCCATCATCTGAACAGATGATCCATATAGGAATATACCAAGAACGAAAGAAACATATATATGTCAAATGACGTCATCAAAGAAAAGAAAAGAATATATAGTTCGTTTCCTAACGCTATTAACCGTCNGAAGATTTCCTACAAAAATTGTTTTCTTCGAATCAAGTTGTTGAGGTGGTCTAGAACAAGCATTTCACACGTCAAACTTCAATAGCAGCAAAACCATCAACTGACCGTAATGCATAATTGTTATCACCAATATTCCACGGGATGACTTCAACAGTTTTTCTCGAGCCAGTTGCCGTTTCAAAATGAATGAAATAGTCTGCACATGCATTGTTATTCGTTTGTCGTGAACAGTTGTCTAATAGTGAACAAACTGATTTCGCATTGTGAAAGACAATATGAAAAAATCCATTTTCACGGTGTAATTCTTTGTGTGCACTATGCAATTTTGGCCATTGAATTTCAAAGACGCCAAAACGATCGAAGTTAGCATGAATATCGGCTTCAGTTGCAAAACGTGGTACACCACCGATGAAGACCTTTTGCGAAAGCAAAGGAATTTGTTGAATGCCATTCGTATCAGTTGAATGTTCGGTAGCGAAATCGCCAATCCAATGGCGAATGTTTTCTGTTGTATTATCACGCATGGGTGGAGCTGATTGTGGTTGAGAAGCTGCTGTTAACGAAAGCAACCAGGGTGGTCGAGCATTTTCGTCATTGATATTGGATTGAACGTTGGAACTGAATGGTAAAGCTTCGTTTTTGAATGAAAAGGGATGTGAAGGTGATGTACGAGGATTGATATCATTTAAAACAAGTTGTTGAAATGGCAGTACACATGATTGTTCAAGTGACATGATGTTCGATGTATTACGAAGAATGAAATCTTGAAAAGGCTTTGGTTCTGGATCAAACAGGTTTTCGCCTAGAAGAATATCATTATTATTATACGCTTCACACGAGACTGTACTCGATGAACATACTTGATAATGTTGAAGTTAGTCCATTGCTAATTGTTGTCGATGCTGTTGGCCATGTTGGAATAAATTCTTTCGTGTTGTTCTTCATTGGAAATGAGAAGTCGTTACGTGGACAACAATTGACATCCATAGTATGGAATATTCGCAGCAATATACACTATGTTTAAATTTAAAAGAAGAAAATCTTGTCTTATGTGTATGTTTGTTTTGTAGTGAATGACTGAATTCGTCAGCTAACTTTTACATGTATATGGTTCTTATCCGACCGACGAATAAGAAGAAAGAAGAGAAAAACAAGTATTTAGTAAAATAACAATCGTCCGATATGAACAGACGAAAAGTGACGAACTAGATCTTGGAAAAGAGAGAAACGGAGCGAAGAGAGAGAGAGAGAGAAGGCGGAAAGATAGTGTGTCTGTGCGTGTCCGAGGTCATTGATCAGTCATGCGATAGGTTTTTTTTATTGAACAGACGTTCATTGATATCCTGCGTGTGCGACATGTACAAAGAAATGTATATTGGATTGAATGGATGCAATGAGAGAACGAACGAATAAATGAATGAACGAAAAAAAGGATGGTGATCACACCGCAGGATAATGTATACATATGAGCCTCGAAATGTGTGAAATAACACGGCAAGCCAATTGAGATTGTCATGTTATTATAGGAGGCCAGATGCTTGTCGTTTACGATATGCCACTTCTCACATTAGCACTGAATTTGTTTGTGTACACATAATAGAAGTGATATCGATGAGAAGGATAAACACGAAATAATTAAAATAGAATATACATTCCGAAATTCTCAGTGCTGTACTTCACAATTTTGTATTTCTTTTTGCAAAGGATAGGTCAGTTGTTATCTAATCTGGAGGAATCATTGTTTTTAACAGATCTCTTCTTGCACATATGTTATCTCTAAGCACTGTAAATGAACATGAAAAAGAAACGAATGAATACGTGTCAGCATGCCAAAAACATCTGTAAATGTTTAGCAACATCAGAAATAAAACAAGAAGAAAGGGAATTGTTTTCAATGTTGTTTACACATTTCTAATAATATTATCGGATAAGATGAAAAGATACAAGACGATCAGGTTCTAAGTGACACAAATTTCGTTTGATTCTGTTAGTGAGCTTGTTTTTGACTTCAAGATTGATCTTGTCAGAGATATTTCACGGAAATTTTGAGATATAGCTGATTTGCACGTTGTTGTATAGATGTCATCATTAAGACTCGCTTCCCTGTGGTGAAAGAAACTCATCGTTACCAACGAAGAAAAGAAAAGCCTTTTTTTTATAAAAACATATGCATGATGTTCGTTAGATGTTTCGCCTACCAAGTCATAATGACACGGAGAGAAAGAAAAAAAAGAAAAATTGTGTTTATTTCAGCATGTTCTCACCAGTTTTACAGTATAGGATTGCTTGGCAATTATGACAAGGTGAGAAACATTTTCTATCGAATGGAAAGAAATACAGGTAGTATTTATTTCGAGCTCTAATCTAGTTGATCAAAATGGTCTTATTCAATAGAGGGATTTGTATCTAAACGTTTAGATTTTAGATAGATTTGATCCGATTTTAACCAGAATGAGCACTCTTCAGTTTGTTAGCAGCCAGACTGGTGAGAACCTCTCTCAAGTATCGAACAAAGAGATTCGACAATCTCTGTGTAACATTAATGATTTACAGAATGGACAAATGAAAGAATTTGAAGTGAAAACAGCTGGTGTCAATACGAGTATCTTGTTAATTAAGCAAAATAATAAATTCTATGCTTATTCAAGTAAATGTTGTCATTATAAGCTCCCGTTAGCAAAAGGTTTGCTTTGAGAAATTCCATTCTTCGTATATATTAATATTCTCGATCTACCAGGAGTCCTAATCAATAATCGGCTGCGTTGTTTTGCACATGGAGCTTGCTTTCGTGTGGATACTGGCGATATTGAAGACCATCCTGGTCATGGAAATTTACCGAGTATGTTCGATAATTAACACAGATCTTCTTTAGAGTTCATTCAATGGTGAATGTTTCTAGAATACGACGTTGAAGTTATTGGCGATGACGTGATTTTAGTCGCTTATAAAGAGGATTTGGAAAAATTAGAGCGTATAAAAATACCAGAGAATCTTGAAATTGAACCCGAACCAGTCGTAGCTATTATTGGTGCTGGTGCAGGTAAATAGATTTTCACGTACAAAAATGTGATTCTACATCTTATTGTATACATGTAATCATCTCATTTAAGGTGGATTTACATGCGCTGACATGCTGCGTCAAAATGGATTCTATGGCCGTATTATATTATTTACCCGAGAAGGTACATTGCCGTACGATCGCGTACGTAGTTTGCCGTTTAAGCGATGATTGATTGTGTTCTTCGATGATGTATTAGGTACAATTGTCGAAGCAGCCGTCGAAAAAACCTCAAGATCTACTTCTACGCGATCAAACATACTATAAGAAAGTTAAAATAGATCTATTAACCGAAGCCGAAGTAACCACTATCAATTGGACAACGAAGGTCATCACATATAGAATCATCGGCAACCAATTGAAATCTATTAAGTATGATTACCTCGTATTAGCAACAGGCTTACGTCCGAAAAAATTACCTTCTTCATTATTGGGCCATGATCTTCGTAATATCTTTTATATACGATCAGTCGATGATGCAAGTAATCTCGCTAGTAAGTTCTATTGCTCAACGATGACAATGATAGGAGAACTGGTTGATTTTTTGTGTAGATAAAGTAAAATCACCCGACGTCAATAACATTGTGATCATTGGAGATTCGTTTATCGCTTTGGAAATATGCGGATGGTTGACGACTGGTTTGGAAGAGAAGAAGAATGTGTCAGTTGTCATGCGCTCAAAAGTACCGATGATCCGTATCCTTGGAGAGAAGGTCGGTCAAGCTTTGCAGAGAGTTCATGAGAAAAATGGAGCCAGATTCTTTTCCAGTGCATCTGTGACGGAAATTACAGTTCAGTTTGTCATTTGCTTCAAGAAAAGAAACATCTACCTTTCGTATTACTTTAGGGCCATCACAACGTTGTTAAATTTGTTCAAATAGGTACAGGCCAGTCTCTTCCATGTGATTTACTTATCTGCGCGATTGGCAGTGAATTATGTACAGAACTATATGAAAATTCATCAATTGAAATGACTGACGACGGATTTGTTAAAGTTAATCAACGTTTAGAAACATCCATCGAACACGTATTAGCCGTTGGAGATATATGTAAATATCCGTTGAAAGTATTTGATTTGGAGGATATAAATTGTCAACATTGGCAAATGGCTTGCTCAACAGGACATCAAGCTGGTAAGAACTCAAATTGAATGACGAACAATGAAAAGATTGCGAGAAATAATTTGTTCCGATTGGAAAAGAAAAGAAAACACATGTCTATTTCCTGATCTATTGTTTAAATAGTAGAATGAATGTAGTCATTTCCTTGTATTTCGATAGATTTTAGAAATTCTTAGTATAAACATATTCTTCTCTATTCAGCTGACACCATCTTACGTTATTATCTTGGTCAAACAAAAGGTGGTTCACGTTCGTTGAAGACAGATTTTTATACGACGCCAATCTTTTGGACAACTCAGAATAACAAGACCACCATTCGATACGCTGGCTATTGTCACAAACCTGAAAATATCATCGTTCATGGTGATCTCGACGGCGAGTTTAAATTTGTTGCTTATTACATCGTCGAAGGGTTCGTTCGAGCCGTAGCTCAATCAAAATATGACCCATTGTCCAGCGAAGTTGCTGAAGTATTTCATCATCGACGAAATATTCGACAGGAAGATATTGAACATGATATGTATGGTTATCGCAAATACTTAGATTTTAAAACAAAGAAACCGGAATGAGTTTTCAGAATTTTAATCCATCTATATGATTTATTCTTCTTTATTGCACTAATAAATAGCTTTTATCGACTAATCGAAAAGCGATGATTTCAAGTTTCGTTCGTCGAAGTACGATAAAGCAACGAAAATCTCTTTGCAAATAAAGGCTTTTCCTTGAAATTAAAGTAAGAAGTAAATAGAATTAAGATAACGTCTGATTGAAGAGAAAATATTCTCATCAATCTTCGAATACTCGGCATGGCTGTCGTAGTATGTAGATAATCGAGTGACGTCTTCTTTCAAGCACGTAGAAAGGCGAAGGAAAAAAACAACAAAAGGGTTACAAGCACATACAATCGACTAGATATCATACATAAAATACGAAATACGAGAGGTTGTAGAGATAAGAGTAATGTAAGGGCATTTTTCATTTCTACACATAAGTCATCATTTTCTAGTACTACGCGTTGTTTTTGTTATTCTTGTTGTAACGCATCTTAGTATCTGGTTACGAGCTGATCGAAGAAAAACAAAATCGTTGAGAATAATACGTTCTGAATTATTTATATCCTTGTCTAATTGAGTTGACTATCGACAAGCGCCATCTATCGTAGAGAATTTAGTATCGTCCAGAGAGTGCCTATAACTATTAATTTATCAAAATAAAATTTTTTTTCTTGGTTCTTTTTTAGAGAAACTTGCCAAATTTCACTTAAACGTTTAATAACAATCGTATGGCGGTCTCACACACAAAGAACATAGGAGAACTGAATTCGTAATGGTTCGATTTCTGTGTTGATTGTTTACAACTTTTTTGGGTCATTGTTTATCGATCTTCATTCGTGTGTATTTTCGCAGAGGCAAATCGTCGCGCGTCGTCGCCGTCGTCGCCCCCCGTTCTCTGCTGTTCATAGTGTACATAGGCCTTGTCTATCTTCTCCCTTTCCGTGTGTATTCTTCTTTTGACGTTGCATACCTGTGTACCTATGTAAAAAGAAAACAAGAATAACAAGCACTGTATACCGGCTGATTAATTATTTTGTTTTTTTGTTACTTCATCATTTGTTCTCTGTACAAAAACAGTAAGTTACGTCAAATTTCACTCGCGAGACGAAAAACGAACATGATATTATTCCTATTTTTATAGTTAACCTATGTGGTCTGCACAAGGTGGTACTGATTATTCAACTAATGGTATTTATATGCATACATATCTATATCGAACAACTTGTCATAGAAAATCTATTGTATCTATTTAGA